TTCCTCATCTGTGACATGGGATGGTAGTAGTGCCAACTTGTCACGGCTGTTGTGAGGATTAAATAAGGTTTTCTATTTATGTAAAGTGCTTGTTAGTAGTAACTTTACTATGGGATAGGGAAAAGTGTCAGTGAAGTGAGTGCACAAGACAGAGCATTCCTGATACTAGGAACAGTTTGTACGGTTTTCAGAGAATGTGACAGGAAGCTGGTGTGGCTGGAGCATAACCAGATGGAGTAAGCGCTAAAGGACGAGATGGAGAGGAGGCCAAGGAGACCAGCTCACAGCAGTTGGAAGCCATCGTGTTCTTCAGGGTGGATATATCGGGGGGTCAGAAGAGAGAAAGGAGTGGAAATAGATGTAGGACTTAATGCCAGGATGTAGAGAGGAGAGGGATGGAGCACTGTTGTCAGCCGATTAGCAGGGGTTGGTGGTTTCTGGTGCCAAGGATAAGCAGCTTAGTCCGGTTTGACTTCCTGCCCAAGTCCAGATACTAGTTCTAATATTTTCTACATCTGTGGCCGTGGGCAGTAATCCCTTCTAGGGTTCACTTCCTTCATCTTCAACATGCGGCTGACTGTCATACCTACCTCATTAGGGTTGTGACGGTTACGTAAGATAGATGTAGTAAGCACTCAGTAAATGCAGTCTGTCACTACACCAGGTGGTTAGTACTTGAACAGCAGGTGTGGCTTAACATTTGAAAAGCGTGAGATATAATTCAATGCATTAGCGGGAAAAAATGAGAAGAGTGAAGGGCTGTCCGCACTTAGGCTATACTTGCCTGTGACTATGATATCAAACCGAGGGTCTGATCTTTCCCAGGCCCATAGTGTGGCCCAGAGTCCCTTACTGGGCAGGTTGAGTTGAGATCATGAGACCAGAGTGACCCCAGTCCTACCTCTGTGAAGTGATTTCTTTCTGCTCTGAATCGATCGCTGGTGGGCCTCACTGGCCACCTTCTCCTCATACTTGGTAGTCTAGAGCTTTGTGTATCTGGCTCCTTATCATTATGGTTCCAGCTCAAATTTATTTCTCCCCTCCTCCGCCCCCCGCAACACTAACCAAACTGCTATTTTTTTTTTTCCTTTTTGTCTTTTTTCGTGACTGGCAATGGATCGCAACCCTCAGTGTCGCGCCCGTACCAGACCGGGACCGGCAACGGGATCACAACCCTCGGTGTTGCGCCCGCACCTCGCTCAGCCAGTGAGCGGCCGGTCTGTATGTGGGATCCGAACCCTCGGCGGGAGCGCCGCCGCACTCCCAAGCGGCGCACTGTAGCAGTGCGCCACCGGGCTGGCCCCCAAACTGCTATTTTATTTACAGTAGATAACAATTTCTTAAATTGTCTTATTATTATTATCCGGGCAGCTAGAATGGTGACTCCATGAGAACAGGGACCATTTTGTCCTAGTTACTGCTGTTTCCTAGTGACTGGCACCTAGTAGGGGCTGAGGAATTATTTATGAAAGGCTGGCTCATTATTTCAGCATCCTGGGGGCTGCTCAAGTGGTCTGTTGAGGCTTTTCCCCACCACGGGAATCTCAATTCTGACCCAGGCCATGGGGAGTTGTCACCATTAAGACTTTTGGAGTTGTGAAAATTTTGGCTTCATAGGCAAATGTTTTCCCATCAGGAAATGGTGAAATTTAAGTTATGACCTCACATCCCAACCCCTACTTGCCCCATTTAGGAAGAAACTTCAGGACTGAGATAAGTGAATGAGGATTCAGTGTCTTCACTCCAATTATACCTCAGATCCATGGCTCCTCCTTTTTCACTATCTGGCCTTGATTCTCAGCATACTCCATTAGCCCAGCCACCTGTACTTTCCCTCAAGTCATGTTCCACTTTGTCTCCTGAAGATGGGGCCTAACTTAAGGTTTCCTTTCAGCCTGTGGTAGTAGTGAAAAGCAGACATAACCAGTGTGGCCCAGTGGTTTCCTTTGCATTTCTCAACTCTGGGACCAAATAGCCAGGAGGCTCAAGAAGGAAGGAGGAGTCTGGAAAAGACATGGCCCCTGCCTGTTTCTCCCACCATTGGAGTCACTATTATGATGACCATATGTTCTAACAGCTCTGGCTTACCTGTCTTTTATGCCCAAATCTTTTTTTGTTGTACATTTGTCTGGGATCCTCAACCGTCATTCTGACAGTAAAATAGCCCTGGATTCTGTTAGAGTGAATGGGACTTGTGGCTCCCCCATGAACTTTAGCTCCTTTTCTTGAAGTCACAACTGTAATGAAGGTCACTAACTCACAAACTCTTGGAGCTGCTTCTGGTAACTTGATACCCCCAGGCCTGAGATCCTTCTTTCCCCCACCCACTGACCTGTCATTCATGGAGATAAATCTGCCCCTTTCTCTCCAAACTCCCAATAAACTGAGAGTGCTTTCTGCCATCAGCATGCTGTTCAAAACACATTTTTAATATAATGAGAATATGTAAATGTTAAAAAAAATCATAAAATACAAAGTACATAACAAATGCAAGAGGTGGCTGTGGTCATTCTAATTCACATAACTTCTGCACCAGAACTACCTCTGGCTGGCGGATGTGTTACTGGGAAAGTTTTTAAAACAACTAATAATAGTCAACATTTAGTGGACATTTTCTCTGTTCCAAATGCTAGTTTAAGCTTTACAAGTATTAACTCATTTACTCCTCACAACAACTCTGAGACAATTGTTTTTCAGGTGAGGTGACTAAGTCACAGACAGGTTATGTGACTTGCCGAAGACCACATAGCTCAAAGCTGGCAGAGCCTGTGCCAGTGGCCAAGTTATACTGCCTTCTGAAACTCATTGTACTGTCTCTTGAAACAATAGCAAACATCCATAGAATAGATGCTATAAACACTATGTGCATTAATAACTAATTCATACTTACAACAACCCTGTCATTAGATTGTTTTATTTAGTATCTTATATCCTTATAGGATGAGGTTTTTAAATATTTTGCAATTTTAATATATGAATATTATAAAAATGACAACAAAATAATTAATTCCAACAGTGAGACAGTAAATCCCCCAGGCATCCCTAACTCTCCTGTGATTTCCTACTGTCATGTTTCTTTGGAAGCAGAGTGGTGGGATGAAAGGGCGTGGCTCTGTCCAGGGAGGATAGAAGTGAATGGGAAAGACATTTATTATGGCATCCTTTATGGTGAAAAAAGAACACAGAAATAAACCCAATGCTGGTCACCAACGGACCAGTTCAATAAAATGTCACCATTGAACTCTTCATCTGCAAAATGGAGATAGTAATAGGACCCACAATATTCATTTATTAAGATTAAATGGGACTGGCCGGTTAGCTCAGTTGGTTAGAGTACAGTGTTGATAACAACCAAGGTCAAGGGTTTGGATCCCTGTACAGGCCAGCAGCCAAAAAAAAATTAAATGAATTAATATAATCACCTTGAACATTGTCCAATAAATGTTAGTTGTTCTTCTTAAGGTTACACGTTTGTGCAGTGAAATACGGTTTATTCTTTAGCAATCATGTTATATAAGGGTATTTAATATCATGAGAAGACACTGATAGCTTAGTTACATGGACAAAGGCGGTACTAAGTCAATACAACACAATGTGATCTATTTTTGTTAGAACACAGAAAAAGGGTAATACTAGGGCCGGCCCGTGGCTCACTTGGGAGAGTGTGGTGCTGATAACACCAAGGCCACGGGTTCGGATCCTATATAGGGATGGCCAGTTAGCTCACTGGGTGAGCGTGGTGCTGATAACACCAAGGCCACGGGTTCGGATCCTATATAGGGATGGCCAGTTAGCTCACTGGGTGAGCGTGGTGCTGATAACACCAAGGCCACGGGTTCGGATCCTATATAGGGATGGCCAGTTAGCTCACTGGGTGAGCGTGGTGCTGATAACACCAAGGCCACGGGTTCGGATCCTATATAGGGATGGCCAGTTAGCTCACTGGGTGAGCGTGGTGCTGATAACACCAAGGCCACGGGTTCGGATCCTATATAGGGATGGCCAGTTAGCTCACTGGGTGAGCGTGGTGCTGATAACACCAAGCCAATGGTTGAGATCCCCTTACCGGTCATCTTTTAAAAAAAAAAGAAAAGAAAAAGGGTAATACTTTTGGATGTGTCTCCTCCTTTCAGGTGGCTTTATCTTTTTCTGTTTTGGTGGCTGGCTGGTAACAGGTGGTTTTAAAACATCGTTCAGTTGATTGTATTTGTTATAAAAATAGTGAGAAAAATAGTAGTTTTAAAAATTGTCAGTTGATGTTAAGATCCAATAGGAAACTACTAAGCCTTGTATTTCAACCTTGTGAATTCTGTTTATCCTGACGATGTTAAGATGAACAGTTTGAGATGCAGCTTCCTTTTGATTCTTTTTTCTTTTGGCTGCTGGCCGATGCGGGATCCTTGGTGTTAACACACCGCACTCTAACCAACTCAGCTAACTGGCCAGCCCCACAGTTTCCTTTTGAAGTTGAAATAAAGATGATTTCGGATAGCCTCCTTGGATCCAAACCCCAAAGCTTGTTTTGCGTAATTGTCTTCTGCCTTCAGATACTCAAGCCTCAAGCTTCTTGGGGGTATGCAAGTCCAAACACTCCCAGTCACGCACACACAACCTACTTCTTCTCATCCCGGGGGTGTCCGGAGGCCCTCCAGTTACTGTTAAGACCTGGGGAACTTTCTAGGAGTCTCTGCATGTATGATTGTTTTTTATTCTACTATTGAAGTTTTGCTTGGCCGAGACTGTGTTGCTAAAAAGCTGCCTACATCACTCTTTCAAAAGAAAGTCGTGTTTCCTCTTTTTTTTAAGTCGTATTTCTGATTTCTAGTGCGTGATTTGAAGACTCACCCCTGTCCCTGTGGCCCATGGACATTATCCTTGTGTATAGAAAAAGTGCCATTAAGGGCGTGGGAAGAAAAGAGGTGGAGCCTATGTCCTTGTGCCGGAAGTTACTGTCCCTTAGTGCGCCTGCGAGACTCCCACGCCTTGAGAAGGATTCCTATCGATTCGCTGTGCGCTCGGCAGCTCTTTCTGGTAGCAGGCGGCCATCTTGCCTGGAGCCTGAGAGAGGGAGAACACCGATAGAAGGAACGGTCGACACTGGTCTCAGGGCCGCCCCGGGGGCCTCAAGAGCTGGAGGCAGCCCCGGAGGTGGTCCCCGATCCCGGGCTATGCTCTTGGACCCGAGAATGGAAGGCAGAGAGCGGAGGGGGCAAGATGGGTGGGGAATGTCAAGCAAGGATTGCTAGGTGGGGGTGGGGCGTTGCTATGGCGACTGGGGAAGGCGGGGTCAGGTGTGAGTCGCCTCTGTGACTCACCCAGGCGCTGCCCTAGAAGGACAGGGCTGGGGGTGATGACCATGTTAACTGACGGGTGGGATTCCGCGACATCCCCGGCGTAGAAGGATTTGGTGTCTATGGCAACGTTCACCTGGCGTTAAGGGACGGAACTAAATTCCTTTGCTTGGGACGCTGACATTCCAGGCCTTTGTCCTGCAGGCTCCCGCGGGCGGACACGCCAGAAGAGGAGGCCGGGGAATGGCCGCGGTGTGGCAGCAAGGCTTAGCAGTAGACGCGAGGTGAGGCGTGGGGTCAAAACCCAAGGGAGCGGAACTTACTGTGGTGCATGCGCAATGGCGATAAGTGAGACTGGGCGGCGAACTTGTCTTATGCGGCAGGCAGCGTGGGCATGCCGGAGGTGAGCATGCACAGTAGTAGGGTGTGGGGGCACTCCAACAGTGAGCCCGCCTGGCGGGAGAGGGTTCTAAAGAGCATGTTGGGAAATGCGGTCAGATTTGGGCATGGGCAGAGAGGCTGCCTTTGGGAGGTGGGATGAAGCTTCCAGTGTTGTACCCCAGACTTCTCTTACTATCATCACTTCCACAGTGTGACACCACTACCACCACTCTTAGCAGTAGACGCGAGGTGAGGCGTGGGGTCAAAACCCAAGGGAGCGGAACTTACTGTGGTGCATGCGCAATGGCGATAAGTGAGACTGGGCGGCGAACTTGTCTTATGCGGCAGGCAGCGTGGGCATGCCGGAGGTGAGCATGCACAGTAGTAGGGTGTGGGGGCACTCCAACAGTGAGCCCGCCTGGCGGGAGAGGGTTCTAAAGAGCATGTTGGGAAATGCGGTCAGATTTGGGCATGGGCAGAGAGGCTGCCTTTGGGAGGTGGGATGAAGCTTCCAGTGTTGTACCCCAGACTTCTCTTACTATCATCACTTCCACAGTGTGACACCACTACCACCACCACAACCACGTGGACCCACACTAACCCTCAGTGTCACACCACCACACCACCACCACATTGACCCGCACTAACTCTCAATATCATGCCAGTCTGATTTTTGTCACCATGCTAGACTGACCCCTATTATTGTCTGCACTAACTCAGTCACCCCATACCGACCCCAGCATAACTGCAGACTGACTCCATTGTCCCCATACTGATCTCATCATCATGACCATTATTATTGAAGACTCGCCCCCATCACCACTGCTGATCTCTCTTGCCACCCTGACCCCAATTGCTGCCACATACCACATTCTCCTGCCTTATCCCTTGAGCTGATTGATTCCTCTGTCTGTGCCTGCTGCCTGCCCTCCCTCCTGACCCCACAGGTACAACGCGTACCGCACACCAACATTTCCACAGTTCCGGACCCAGTATATTCGTCGGCGCAGCCAGCTCCTGCGGGAGAATGCCAAGGCTGGCCATCCCCCAGCGCTGCGTCGGCAGTACCTGAGGCTGCGGGGGCAGCTGCTGGGCCAGCGCTACGGGCCCCTCTCCGAGCCAGGCAGTGCTCGTGCCTACAGCAACAGCATCGTCCGCAGCAGCCGCACTACCCTTGACCGCATGGAGGTGAGCTCCTGCCACACTGCCTGCCGTATGTGCCACTGGCCTCCACACCCACACATTCACTTCACAGATGTTCGTCAAGCACCTGCTACGTACTAGGCACTATTCCTAGCTCTCAGCATCAGCAGAGGACAAAAAGCGATAGTATGCCAAAGAAGTCAGTAAACACACAGCAAACTCCATAAACAGGCAATTAACAAGTTAAATAGGCCAATAAATATATAGCAAGCCAGATAAACAAGTCCATAATTACCATGGCTAGTAGTGAGAAGTGCTAAGATGGAAAAATAAAGTGGACTTGGGGGATAAAAAAGGACTGGTATGGGGGACAGAGGGAAGCTATTTTTAATGGGGCTGATCAGGGAAGACTGCTCTGAGGAGGTGACATTGGTCACCTCAGAGACTGAGTCAAGTGATTTTCTGGGGAAGAATGTTCATTCTTTGTTCAGAAAACACACATTGAGTATCTGTTGAGCAGGGCGAGGGTGGAAGCAGGGGGACTAGTGAAGAAGCCACTGTAGTAGTGCACACAAGCAGTGATGGTGGTGACAGGGGACATGGTGAGAGGGGATTTGCTTCTGAGTATATTTTGAAAGCTCCAGACCCAAGGGTTCTAAGGGCCTGTTTTCAAGATGCACCCACTCTGACGCTCTCCATTTGCAGGACTTTGAGGATGATCCTCGGGCCCTGGGAGCCCGTGGACACCGCCGTTCTGTCAGCCGCGGCTCCTACCAGCTGCAGGCACAGATGAACCGTGCCGTTTATGAGGACAGGTATGCAACAGAGGCAGCCGAGAGGTGGGGGCTTGTGAGGAGAAGAGGGGCCATGGGGCAATGACAGGCTGAACACTTGCACCTACCTTCTGTCACCCCCCCACTTCCTTTTGGTGCCCAGGCCGCCTGGCAGTGTGGTGCCCACGTCGGTGGCAGAGGCAAGTCGGGCCATGGCTGGGGACACATCGCTGAGTGAGAACTACGCCTTTGCGGGCATGTACCATGTCTTTGACCAGCACGTGGATGAGGCAGGTGAGCTAGTAGGTGGCAGGTCCCATCACCAAGTGTTTACCCATGCTGTGACAACCACTCTTTTCCAAATGCAAGGCCCCTGGCACACCTCCAAAGGAGGAATTGCCATCAGTAAAGACTTTCACAGACTGAAAAACTCTCTGCAAAGTGGTCTGCAAAGTCTCGGTACTTTGTGTACTATAAAGGGCCTCAGAAGCTTAAAGGAGTGCTTTGTAGCAGGCTACTTGGGTTGGTGAGTGGCTTGGGAGAGTTCACAGCCTTTGCTGAGGGCAGAGTGGGCCATAGAGTGTCAAGGGTCTTGCAAACTGCCCAGACCTTGGTGATTGTAAAGTGCTTGCAAAGACCTAGGAGCTTTTTCACACTGCAGAAGACTTTTGCAATCTGCAAAGTACCTGCTGAGATTTAGGGAGCTTTAGGTAGAAGGCATTCTGAGGTTACAGCTCCCACGTCAGCCAAGGAAAGCCCTTATTTATAAATGAACTCACCCAGTGAGTGTGCTGACTTCCACAACTGGCTCCTTGGCATTGCAGTCCCAAGGGTGCGCTTCGCCAATGACGACCGGCACCGCCTGGCCTGCTGCTCACTCGACGGCAGCATCTCCCTGTGCCAGCTGGTGCCTGCCCCACCCACCGTGCTCCGCGTGCTGCGGGGCCACACCCGTGGTGTCTCTGACTTCGCCTGGTCTCTCTCCAATGACATCCTCGTGTCCACCTCGCTTGATGCCACCATGCGCATTTGGGCCTCTGAGGATGGCCGCTGCATCCGGGAGATCCCTGACCCCAGTGGTGCTGAACTGCTCTGCTGCACCTTCCAGCCTGTCAACAACAACCTCACTGTGGTCAGGATCCAGGGTGCCAGCTCACCAAGGGCGGGCACGCTGGCTCAGGCGGGCTGTCTGATGGGGTCAGAGGATGAGGAGGCGGCCTGGGGGGGTCTAGGGCCCCCTAGTCCCATCATAGCAGTCCCACTGTGGTCAGACTCAAAGGGAACCAAGTCAGAGGATGAGGGAATGCAGATCTTGGTCTGGGATGGCCTTGGTGTGGTAGACTCCAGGGGCCACTGCTCGGGGGTAGGGTCATAGTTCTGGGACACCTTTGGTCCCATCAGCCATAGTCCTACAGTTTTCCAACTGCAGGGGCTCCTGCTGGGGAACAGGATGATGAGGCTGAAACCATGTCTGGTCTCTTAGTGGCAGCCCCACTGTGGTTGGACTCCAGGATAGATTGGTCAGAGAGCAGGAGAAGGAAATGAAAAGTTGGGCATGGCCCTGTGGGGGGGGGTGACGGTGGGGGGAGGTGAAGTACAGGGGAACTGGCCAAGAGTGAGCATGTGGTTGGGATCCCTTCCATTTCAGCAGCAGCAGCAGCAGCAGCCCCACAGGCTCCGGGAAGGAGCAGTCAGGGAGTAGGGGAAACAATTATTATAGGCCTGAAAGAGCCCTGTGGCTTTCAGACTGTAGAGGGGACTAGCCAGGTGGTAGCGTTATGGCTCTAATGAGGCCCCTTTAGTCCCAAGAGCAGCTGTCCTACTCTGAGCAGATTGCAAGAAGGGCTGACTAGAGGATTACATGCCTGGGTCACCTGGGCTACCTGCCACAGCCCTGCTGTTATAGACTTTACTAGGAACCTGCTAGTCCCATCAACAGCAGCCCCACTGTGGTCAGACTCCAGGAGGGACTGGCTGGGAGCAGGATGATGGAGCATTATGCCTACAGGTGGGGAATGCCAAGCAGAATGTGCATGTCGTGAACATCTCCACGGGCAAGAAGGTGAAGGGTGGCTCCAGCAAGCTAACAGGCCGTGTCCTCGCTCTGTCCTTTGATGCCCCTGGCCGGCTGCTCTGGGCGGGTGATGACCGCGGCAGTGTCTTCTCCTTCCTCTTCGACATGGCCACAGGTAGACAGGCAACATGCCTATGTCTGGTTGCACACCCTCCTGTGCTCCCAGGACACAACCTTACCTTTGCCTCTCCTCCCTCCACTGCTGCAGGGAAGCTGACCAAAGCCAAGCGTCTGGTGGTGCATGAGGGGAGCCCTGTGACTAGCATCTCTGCCCGCTCCTGGGTCAGCCGTGAGGCCCGGGACCCCTCACTGCTCATCAATGCCTGCCTCAACAAGCTGTTGCTCTATAGGTGGGTACCCTCTGCAGGGCCACCTGGGGATGGAGGGCCTGCCCCTTCCATCTGACTTGGACAGGAGCCTGTGTCCTCCATCAGATTGACTCGACTGAGGGTGGAGATACAGTTTCCTCATGATGACGGCAGTGACAATATCAGTTGTAGCAGTAATAGTGATTGCAGTAGCAAGCACTTATACCATACTCGCTGTGGCCAGGCCCTGTTTGGAAGCACTTTCCATGTATCACCTTGTTTAATCCTCAGCCAACCTGTGAGGTGGGTACTGTTATTATCTTCATTTTCCAGTTTAGCAAACTGAGGCATCAAATAGATTAGGGCCCCTTACAGCAGAGACCTGTTTTCCTTCCTTCCTTTTTTTCCCCCTTGGCTTATTTTTTGGGTGTGGGGGTGGTTTGCTATCTCCATTCACATCATTCATGTTAACCAAGTGCAGTTTTCAGCCTGGGCCACACGTTGGAATGACCTGAAGAACTTCAAAAGATCCTGCCCAGGAGCATCTGTATATGTTTTTTCTTTTTTGGTGGCTGTCCAGTATGGGGATCCAAATCCTTGACCTTGGTGTCACGTATACTTTTTATTTTTTAATTTTAATTAATTAATTTTTAAAGATGACTGGTAAGGGGATCTTAACCCTTGGCTTGGTGTTGTCAGCACCACGCTCTTCCAAGTGAGTTAACCAGCTATCCCTATATAGGGATCCGAACCTGTGGCCTTGGTGTTATCAGTAACACACTCTCCCAAGTGAGCCACAGGCCAGCCCTTATGTATACTTTTTTTTTTAATAAAAGATGACCGGTAAGGGGATCTTAACCCTTGACTTGGTGTTGTCAGCACCACGCTCAGCCAGTGAGCTAACCGGCCATCCCTATATGGGATCCGAACCCGGGGCCTTGGTGTTATCAGCACCGCACTCTGCCGAGTGAGCCACAGGCCGGCCCTATGTATACTTTTTAATTGAAGTGTACTCTTAAGTTTCTGCCCATTTCCTTAGCCTTTCCCCTCTCTCCTTCCTCCTGCCACAGTATAGCATGTTAACAACATGTATCTTTCCATATTTTATTCTCTCTGCTTGGATCCTAGGTGTGCACACACATCCTCATGATTTTTAGGGAAGGCATGTTTTACAGAAATGGGCTTTTCCTACATCCTTTTCCACATCTTGCTTTGCTCACCTGGCAATGCGTCATGGAAACCCCCAGATCACCCACAGTGGCTATAGTTCATCTTCTTTAATGGCTGAGCAGTTTTCCACAGTGCAGGTGCACCAAGGCTTGTTCAGCCATTTCCTCTCTTTGTACCCATTTTAATGCCAAGATCTTGTAGAGATCCTTAGAAAAACTAGTGAACAACACTGCAGAGGCTACCCTCAACAGATGCAGTGGTGTCTGAACTGTCACTAACTTGCACTTTAGCCCATGCTTGCAGGTTTATGCTGTTGCAAGATAGGATTTCATAAACCTTGAAAGGAACTCAGGCCCAGGGGTGGGGACACAGACTGGCCCACCACTGGTCCTCTTTCTGGGCAGAAGCTACACCCTGACCCACTCTCTCATCCTCCCCTCAGGGTAGTGGATAACGAGGGGACCCTGCAGCTTAAGAGAAGCTTTCCTATTGAGCAGAGCTCACACCCTGTGCGCAGCATCTTCTGCCCGCTCATGTCCTTCCGCCAGGGGGCCTGCGTGGGTAAGTCTTGTGGGGGTAGGGACCAGGGCTGGTGCCCACCTGGCTCAAACATCGTGACACCCTGATGCCTTCAATTCCTGGCTCACAACTACTAATGGACTGACAGCCCTGAACAGCTCAGAGAAATCACACTTTTAAATCACATTCCCAGATAGCCCAGAGACCTCACTGCCTCAGACAAGACTCCAAACAGCCCAGAGACCTCACAGCCTCAAACACTCACCCCCAAAAAGCTCAGAGATCTCACAGCCTAAGACCCAGACTCCAAAAAGCCCAGAGACCTCACAGCCTCAGACACAGACTCCCAGAAACACTCACCTCCAAAAAGCTCAGAGATCTCACAGCCTAAGACCCAGACTCCAAAAAGCCCAGAGACCTCACAGCCTCAGACACAGACTCCCAGAAAGGCCAGAGACCTCACAGCCTCAACAGAGACCCCCAAATAGTCCAGACCTCACAGGCTAAGACACAGACCCCTGAACAGGCCAGAGAAGTCACACTCTGGACAAAGCCTCTCAAACAAACCACAGACCTTACAGTCTAAGAAACAAACCCTCAAACTGGCCAGAGACTTCACAGCCTGAAATGCAGATGTCCAGGCATCCCAGAGGACTCCTACCTGGGACACACCTCCAGATATCTCAGAAACCTTATAGCCTGACACGCAAACCCCCAGTCATTCCAGAGACCTCACGATCTGGACATAGTTCCCTAAACAATCCACAGACCTTACAGCCTGAAACACAAATACTAAAACAGCCTAGAGACCTCAGCATGAAACACATATTTCCAAACAACCCAGAACACTCTGAGCCTATGACACACCCCTGCCCAAACAACCCAGAGACCACATAGCCTCAGTCAGAGACCTTCAACCAGCTAAAAACTTCACACTCTGCACACTTACTGCAAAACAGACCAGAGAACTCACAGACTGTGACACAGACAACCAAATATCCGAGAGAATGCACAGCCTCATACACAGACCTCCCACACAGGCCGGTGACCAAACAGCCTTAGATGCAGACCCCCAAATAGGCCAGAACCTAACAGCTGTAGATCCTCTAATGGCCCAGAGCCCTCAAAACCTAAGACATAGATCCCCAAATGACCCAGAGACCTCACAGCCTAAGAGCAGACTCTCAGACATCCCAGATATCTCACAGACTGAAACACAGACCCCATACAGCTTAGAGGCCTCACGGCCTCAGACATAGACCCCCAAACATAAGTGAGACCTCAGGGAACTCAGACAGAGACCCCAAACATCCCAGAGACCTCACAGCCTGAGACACAGATCCCCCATATAGCTAAGAGAACACATAGCCTGAGTTGCAGACCATTAAACAGATCTGAGACCTCAAGCCTCAGACATAGACCCACAAAAAGCCCACAGACTGCACAGGCTCATAAAACCCCACAAACAGCCATGAGAACTCACAGACTCAAACACAGACCACCAAAGAACCCAGAGACCTCACACTCAGTACAGAGACCCCAAAACATCCCAGCGTCCTCAAAGCCTGAGACACAGACCCACAAATTATCCAAAGATTTAAAAGCCTGACACAGACTTCCAAATAGCCTGGAGATCTCACAGCCAGACACTCAGATGCACAAACACTCCGGAGAACTCACATTTTGGCATAGAGACATATAAACACCTCAGAGAAGACACAGCCTGAAACATCATACCCCAAACAGTCCAAAGACCTCAGAGCCTGAAACACAGACTACCAAACAACCTAGAAACCTCTCAGCATGAGACGCAAACCCACAAACAGCCTAGAGACCTCACATCCTGAGACCAGACCCCCAAACATCCCAGAGACTTCATAGCCTGAGATAAAGACCCCCAAACATTACAGAGACCTCACACTCTGTACACAGTGCCTTAAACAAATCTCAATCCTCACAGCCAGAGACACAGAACCCCAGACAGATGTGAGACCTCAGAGCAAGAGACACAGAACACGAAAAGCCGACAGACTGCACAAACTCAAATGAAGACCAGACACAAGATCTCACAGCCTCAAACACAGACCACTAAAGAGCCCAGAGACCTCACACTCTGCATACAGACCCCAAAACATCACAGTGTTCTCAAAGCCTGAGACACAGACCACCCAAACAGCCCATGGATTTCACAGCCTGACATGCAGACAACAAACATCCCAGAAACGTCAGAGCGAGAAACCACACAGCTAAGAGACCTCAGAGATTCAGACATAAATACCCAACATGCCCAGATATTTCACAGCATGGGACAAAAACCCACAAGCACCCTAGATACTACACATGGTCAAATAAACACGACTAAACAGCCATGAGAACTCACAACCTTACACAAAGACCAAAATAGAGCCAAGAGATGTCACATTCTGCCAGAGAACACAAAACGTCCCACAGACCTCAAGCCTGAAACACAGGCCCCCAGATGACCCCAAGAATTGCCTGCCTGCAACACAAACCCCCAAAGAGCCCAGAGACATCACACATTGAGACTCAGACCCTCAAACATCACAGAGAATTCACAGCCCGGGACACCGACCCTTATATACTCCACAGACCTCACAGCTTTAGACACAGATCCCCAAAGAACGCGGAGACCTCTCAGCCTGACAGGCAGGCACTAAACAGACCAGAAACATCACAGATGGAGAAAACAAACTGCTAAGACACCTAGAGACTCAAAGGTAAACCCTAAAAGAGTCCAGAGATTTCATAGTGACAGACATCGATTATAAACAGCCAAGACAACTCATGTTCTATACACAGACATAAACAAACCACAGAGTCCTACCGGCCTGACACACAGACCCAGAAAACAGACCACAGATTTCACAGCCACAGACCCCGGACTGCCCAGAAGACCCAGATACTGACAAACAGAGGACATCTCAACTCAAACACCTCATGGGGTCACTCACAGACCTCGAAACAGCTTGCAGACCTCACGGGCTGATACACAGAGCTACAAACACACAATATACCTTATACTTTACACATAGACCCCCAAAGAGCCCACAGAACTAATACCTCAAGGCACAACCCCCCACACAGCCCAGAGACGTAACCACAAAGATTCTCGAGGAGCTCAGAGAAACCACAGCCTCAAACACATTCCCCGTGGCACCTGACTGACCTCATAGACTCGAGAGATTTCGCTGACGAACAAAGAGCCCAGACACCTCGCGTTCTGCACACAGACACGTATACATCCCAGAGTCCTTTGAGCCTCAGACGCAGACCCCCAAACAGCCCAGAGATTTCACGGCCTCAGCTTCAGGTCCACTAACTGCCTAGAGACAGAACCCTCACAGCCTGAGACAGGAACCCACAAACAGCCTAGAGGCCCCACAACCTGAGACTCCAACCCAACCACAACTTAAGAGACCTCACAGACTGAGACACACACCCGCAGCAGGCCATAGACCTCACGGCGTACGACACACACCCACCAAAAGTCCACTGTCCTCACGGCCTCGTACACACCGACAGATAAATGCCCCGACATTATGAAGCCTGAGGCAAAACTTCCAAACAGCCCACAGACCTCGCAGGCTCAGACAGAGACCCCCAAACAGCCCTGAGACCTCACAGCCTCAGGCCCAGTCCCCCAAACAGCCCAGACACCTCACACTGTGCCAGCGCACGCGGTAACGTCACGGATCGCACAGCCCCGAAACTCAGACTGCCAAGTAGCGCAGGGATCTCCTAGCATGGGACACACACCCGCAAAGAGCCCGGAGACCTCACACTCTGCACACAGACCTCAGAACTTATCAGAGATCTCAGTGCCTGAGACAGAGACCCCCACACGACCCAGAGACCTCCCAGCCTGAGACCCAAAGCCACAAACAGCTCAGACACTACACAGGCTCAAATGAACACCCCCATAGAGCCACCAGACCTCACAGCCTCCGGCAGAGACCAAAATAGAGCCCAGAGACGTCCCATTCTGCCACAGACCCCCAAACGTCCCAGAGACCTCAGGCCTGAAACACAACCCCTCCGTGGGCCGCAGACCTCACGGCCGGAGACACAGACCCACCAACAGCCCGGATACTACACGGGCTCCAGTCGAAGCCTCGGTACAGCCAAGAGACTTGGCACCCTCACACACCGACCACCAAAGAGCCCGGACACGTGCCACTCTGCACACACAGCTCAACCCTGACCAGAGATCTCAACGCCTGACATAGAGCCCTCCAGACAACCCAGAGAGCTCACAGCCTGAGACACAGACCCCCACAGAGCCCAGAGACCGAAAACGTCGCACGGAGACCTCCACACGGCGCAGACAACACACAGTCTAAATCCCGATACCCCACGCAGCCGACAGACATCAGAGCCTGAGACACACACCCCGAAACCGCCCAGAGATTTCACAGCCTCTGTCACAGATCCCCAGACCACAAAGAAGACCCAGCTCCTGACACACAGAGCCCGTGTCAGCTCAGACACCTCACGTGGTCAGTCACGGACCTCCACCCAGCTTGCAGACCTTTCAGCCTGATACGCAGAGCTGCAAACACCCCAGAGACCTTACACTTTGCACACAGGCCCCCAAACAGCCCACAGAACTCATGCCTCAAGACACAGATCCCCACACAGCCCAGAGACCAAAAGCGTTACACACAGACCCCCGAGCAGCTCAGAGAACACACAGCGTCAAACACATTCCCCCTGGCAGCCGACAGACCTCATAGCCTGGGACACAGACGACCCGTCCACCTATTGACCTCAGAGCCTGAGAGGCGATCCCCAAACAACCCAGAGACCTCACAGACTTCGACAGAGACCCCCAGACAGCCCAGACACCTCCCACCCTGCACACAGACCCGAAAACTTCCCTCAGGCCTCAAGCCTGAAACGCAGTTCCCCAGACGACCCAGAGAATTGCCAGCCGGTGACA